CCCCCCCCCGCCCCCCCCCCCCCCCCCCCCCCCCCCCTAGGCCGCAACAAGCAGATGTGCCTGACAGGTCGGCCCTATCGGCACATGGGTGTCCTTGGGACCTCCAAGCTCTACAACATCAGGAAGAACATCTTTACCTTTACCCCGCAGGTAGGTGGCATTGCATGGGCTCATTCCCAGCTGTCATGCGATCTGGAACTGGGCAGGAGGTTTCTCCACTGGCTGAGCACTCAAGTTGTTCTCAGGGGTGGCCTAACACCCTCTGAACAGCCTGGGAGAGTGGAGCAGCCCCAGCTCCGTGGAGGGAAACAACAGAGTTAGTGGTCCTGGCTGTGTGCGTGCTAGGAGATGGTTTCAGCCTTCTGATGATCAGTGTTGGGTGAAAATCTCTTTGCTCACTCTGACAAGGACACCAGGAGGAGGCTGATGGCAGGACAGGGATCCCTCTGTTCTGTGTCCAGCATAGTATGGGGACAAGCAGTGTTGCAAGCCTGGCACTGTGGAAAGTGCATATTCACTTGGGGTAGGCACGGAACAGACCATCTGTGTGAGGCCTGGGTGATGCTGCTGCTGAGCTGTGGTGTTACCTCCTCGTAGTTAGTGGCCAGTAGCTGCCCTGGTGCTTGAGGGTCCCTTGCTAGACTGTACTGGCACCTACCAGGTAAGGTGGGATGAGCTGTCAGTGCAAAGGAGCATCTCCCTTGGGTGCACTGTGAGGCTGGCCTGGCTGAGCACCTGTGGGAAGATGTGGGTGGCACCAAGGGACCTGGTGGCTGCAGGAAGGGCCACTCACATCTTCTGCTGTCCCTGCAGTTCATAGACCAGCAGCAGTTCTACCTGGCTCTCGACAACAAGATGATTGTGGAGATGCTGAGGACAGACCTCTCGTACCTCTGCAGCCGCTGGAGGATGACTGGGCGGCCGACCATCACCTTCCCCATCTCCCACACCATGCTCGGTATAGATCCTCTGGCCTCACAAGGCGTTTGGCTAGAGCAGCCCTGGGAAGCAGCCTCTGTGGGAAGAAGGGGGTGGGCAGATGTGGGACCGTCTCAGTAATGGGGACAGTGTGGGGCTGGAATAGCCAATAGCGTCCTGTAAAGAGCTTACTGCTCAAAGGAGCCACACTGAGTTGGCAGCTGTTCTGGCAGCTAGGTGGGCTGCCTGCCAAGCACTAGTGCCTGCAGCTCAAGGGATGTTTGCTGGCATGGAGGTATTCAGTTGCTGGGCAGCCAGGCTTGTTCAGAGGCCTTTGGGGAGCAAGACCAAAAAAACCAATCCCCCTGTAAAAGTGTTTTTGGGGCTTTTCCTGCATCTTGACTCTTTGCCAAGAGTAACCACCTACTAAAGGCTTTCCTAGACAACAGGGAGGGGAAGACAGCAAACCAGAAGGATCAAAGAGCTGTCCAATGGCACAGAGCAAAACTGGCTTCTCTGGAGCAGCTCACAGCTTCCCTGTGAGCTTGGTGCAGGGAAGGGACTCTCTTCTGCTTTCAGGCCTTCTTGGCTCTCCTTGGTATTTGAAATCCCCTTAGTGTTTTGAGCATGCCCTTTGCTGTGATGTCTTCTGCTGCTGACAGCAGCACTCCCTCCGATGCCTTCTGTGAAAGGCAGGGACAGAGCAGGGGGCTGTTTGGGTGCTGCTGTCTGGTACTGTCAGCTTCAGTCAAAGGTGAAATCCCAGGAGCCTGAAGCGTGTCTTGGGCTGGCTTTCATGGAATCCGGCCTGGACAGTCTTGAATTTCCCTTTTTGGGTGGTGCTTTTGGTACAACAGCCTGGCTGTGCATGCCAAAGGAAAGGGTCTCGCTGATGCCATGGTGCTTTATATGTTTGAATGCCCACCTGACCCTGTGTTACCTTCTGGGAGCCTGTTTGAACAGGAAAGCCTGACTGCCTGTATCTTGGTCCCCAACAGATGAAACGGGCAGCAGCGTGCACCCCACGGTGCTGGCAATGCTGCGGAAGCTGCAGGATGGGTATTTCGGTGGCGCAAGGTGAGCACAGCTTCCTGGGGTGCAGGAGGGGAGAGGGCTGGTGGCCTCCAAGAGCCTGGTTATGAGGGTACCTGCTAGGCCTGAGCATTGGCTGTTGGGGAACAAGCTGTGGAGGATACATTGGGGTGTGCTAGGTTGTAAGTGCACCCTGGGGCTACAGTCCCAACAGAGCAGATGTAAGAGAGGAGATATCCCTTCATGCCATTAAACCCATTGCTGCAGGATCCTTCTAATAGCTTTGGGGCAGCCCTTCCATGCCTACCTGTGGCTGGAGGAGTTGCAGGCAGCTAAAGCAGGCACTGGGGCATGTGTACGCTCCTGGGCGAGTGTGTCTCCCTGCCAAAGGGCCTGCCCTGGATTCAGGAGGCAAAGCCAAGGGTATTGCCTCCACCTTCCTCTCTGTGTGACCTCCCCTCCTCTCGCCCAGGATCCAGACGGGTAAGTTGTCGGAGTTCCTGACAACGTCGTGCCGAACGCATCTCAGCTTTATGGACCCTGGGCCAGAGGGTAAGGTCTTTGACAAGAGTTATGAGCTCAGCATTGACAGCTTTGAGGAGCTAGACGCCGAGGAGTGGCTGCATGGCTTGCAGATAGCAGAGGATGGTAAGGGGGAACAGGCCAGTCGCTGCTGTGGTGTGGCAAATGTGAAACTCACCTGTAAACCCGTAACACTCAACCTCCCTGCCAGCACCTGCCACTGTGTTCTTCATACACTTAGGTTTTCACTGTGTGTCTGTTCCCATCTGACCCTCCATCAATTAACCTTGTCTGGGTGATGCTCATGGTGACACCAGTGGGGTGGGACTGGGTAAATTGATGCAGCTGTTGTAGCCCCCTCACGAGAGGGATTTCACAGCCAGGTGGGGCTGAGGCTGGTGGAAGTGGACATGAAGAGCATGGAGGACGCTCTGGAATGAGCTGCTGTGACCTTTGTAGGCTGTTGCTGTGGGGAAGAGCTAAAGGGTCCACAACCTGCCTCTGCTCGGGAGATTTGGCTGAGGATCTTTAGTGCACAAGTGTTGGTGCAGAAAGTGATGATACAGTGCTCGAGACAGTGGGGAAGAGCCACCACGTCCCTAAACAATCTCTGTTGTTTTCCTGAAGCCTTTGATCCTCATTGGGCAGAGCTGCTCCAGTGGCTGCCAAATTGAGGCCTTGCTGCTGTGGATAGGATGCCTGAGAGGGCCTTGGCCTGTCACAGTGTGATGGACCCACCTTGTCCTGAGACCATGGTGGGGTGCAAGTTTTGATGCTCCCCTTGCAAGCAGGCCTGGGTACGTCCTCCTCCTGCGTGACCTGGTGTTGGTCATCTTCCCAGCCTTTCCATCAGTCTGCTCTGCCTCTGCTGCTCCTGTAGCCAATGTTTGCGCTGCTGTGACTCCAAATACTTATTTCTCTTGCCCTCCTCTCACTTTGCCCGCAGTCTCCTTGCAGGCTGCACTTGGGCTTCTCCAAGGTGTCTGCTTCCCTCCAGCCCCAATGGGAGACAGGGCCTGCCTGGCCTCTCTACAGCAGCTAGAAGATGCTCAATCTTAAGTTTTTCCTGTGGTCAGGTGCTGCAGCCAGGCAGGATGATGTTCTCAAGCCTGATGTCTGGGGGACTCCTCCAGCTGAGCCTTCAGGTGCTGGCACAAGGCATCCCCAGCAGGAGTGGAAAAGGGATGCCATGCTGTTGGCCTCGGATACAGTCTGCAGCTCACCTCCTGGGGCACATACCACAGAGCTTGTCTGCCAGCTAGAGAGTGGCAAGGCTTTGCCGTGGCCCACTGGCTGGAAGTGCATCGACAGCTCTGCGTTGTATTGCATTGCCTTGGCATGGGGCACCTCCCCCCCCGGGGCATCCCCCTCCTGCTGGAGGCTGGGCAAAGAGCAAGGCAGGAGCTGTAACTCCTAATTAGAAATAATTGGTAATTTAATTAGAAATAACTGTTGCAAAACCCACCCTGCCTCACTCCCATGCTGAGGCCCTTGCTGAGGCCCTTGCTGCGCTGGGGTGCTCATAAGCAGTCTCTGCTTGGACAGGCTGTCCCTGGCTGTGACTCTTACTTCCCTGGAGGCAAAGAGCATGAGGGTTTCACCATGGGGTTTGAGCAGATTCTGCTGTCCTTGCACAGGCTTGAACCAGACACACGCTACAGCCCCATTGCTTCCTTAGTCCAGGTGGGACTCAGAGGGGCCTCACTTTGGCCCCAGCTAGCAGCCAGCGTCCTATGCAGCAGAGTAGTGCAGGAACACGGGTGCCGCAGCTGCTGTGCTTTGTGAGCCCGGCTGCTGGCACTAGCCTCGCGTTGTCACTTTGTGCAGCCAGCAGAGCTTTGCCCTTGCTGAGGCACAGCTGGGGAGCTCTCTGGGGCCTGGGCGTGCCCCGGCACAAAGCAGCTGAACCCTCCCTCTTCTGCCTCACCTTCCAGCGGACACGTATGACGAGGTTGCTCAGTACTTGGACCACCTGCTGCAGCGCACAGTTCCCCAGTCGAACCTTCCTCCCACCGCCCAGCGGGGAGGGCTGAGCCGCTTCCGGGCTGCTGTCCACACCACCCGTGACCTCATGTCCCTGGCATCCAAGGCCAAGGACCTTCATGTCCAGAGTGAGTAACTCCAGCACCTTCACTCAAGCCCAGGGGTGATGCTGAGGTGCTTTGGGAGCTTTCCCAGCTGTGCAACGCTGGGGCCTCCATGGACTGCAGAGCAACCCATAATGTGCCTGGACAAAGGCACATTATGTCTATCCTGTTGGCCATGGAGTATCTTGGAGTTGGTGCCTGTGCAGTCCTCGTGGAAACTGCTGAACGATAAGGGATGGCAGCTCCCCATGGTGTTCCTCTAACTGGGTGGGCAGGGACTGCTTCTCCCACAGCCGACTTCTCCACAGGGGCTGCTGGGGGAGCAGAGTGTTAGATGTGAGGTGGTTTGGGGCACAGCAGTAGTAGCTGGGGTTGAGAAGTGTCTGCACCAACCTTGGCTTTCTTCTAGATGTTGGGATGTATGTCCCCAGCAAGATCTTCCAGGCATCCCAGCAGTCAGTCAAGCTGCTGAGTTCACCCCACCAGCATGACGTGGATGGCAAGGTGAGCCCTGTCCCTCCCGGACTGGCTGAGCAGTGCCATCCTTTCAGCTGGAGCCACAGTGTCCTTGTGGGGCTGCATGGGGAAGGCTTGGTGTTTGGCAAGGGGCAATATCCATGGGTGAATGACCTTGGCTCCTTAACCAGACCACACTTGGTGTGGGGTGCTAGCGGTGCTAACCAGGAGCATGGGTCTCCCTTCCCCCAGAGCCACGCACTCCATGCAGAGATGAACCTTCCCCGTGATGAGGATGGCAATGTGGACTGCAAGGCACTGGTGGACCAGCTGCGTATCTGCCCCACCCTGCAGGAGCAAGCAGACATCCTCTACATGCTCCACATCCTCAAGTACGATGAGTTCCAAGTCGTGCTTGCTCACTGAGCAGAGAGAGATGGCGCAGCCGTGCAGGTGTCCTGACCCACAAAGCCTGGGGGCTGCCATGGAGCTGCCGCAGGGCAAATTGCTGGCTATAACCTGGCGTCTCCTGCAGGGGGCCCGAGTGGCACACGGGGCTTGATAGCGAGCCTGGCCCAACTGTCAAGGAGCTCCTCACTGAGCTGTACGTGCGGGTGGGGGACACACGCCAGTGGGCCCTGATCCGCTACATCTCTGGCATCCTCAAAAAGAAGGTGGAAGCTCTGGACGAGGTAATAACCGGGCAGTCAGCCTTCAGCAGGCTGAGGTCTGTAGAGGAAGAGGCGGCAAGAGTGGGCAGGCGAACTGTGGCTGCATCAGCTCTGCCTCATGCTGAGGTCCCAAACCCTGAGCTGCTGATGATGCCTGGGGTGACTCTTTCTGTCCCCAGGCCTGCACTGACCTTCTGTCTCACCAGAAGCACTTGACAGTTGGGCTGCCCCCAGAGCCACGTGAGAAGACTATCTCTGCGTGAGTGTGGCACCTCTCCCTCCCCATGCATGCTGGGCTGGGGCTGGATGTGAGCCTGCTGCTCTGGAGTCCATGGGCAGGAACAGTTCTGGGTGGCTGTGTCCAGCCTGTATCTCTCCTCTCTGGGCTGTACAGACCAGGAGAGATGCAGGGCTCACTCTGCTGCCTCTCACCTGCTCTGCCATTTGTTCCCTCCCCAGCCCGATCCCCTACGAGGAGCTTGTTTGCCTCATTGATGAAGCCAGTGAGAAGAACCTCAGTGTGTCCATCCTCACTCAGGTGAGGGGCCAGGGCAGCAGGGGACCTCACAGCTGGGTGTCTGCCCTGGTGAGTGACAGTGGGGTGATCTGCCTCTTCCCCTCCAGGAGATCATGGTGTACTTGGCCATGTGCATGCGCACACAGCCCACACTCTTTGCTGAGATGTTCCGCATCCGCATCGGGCTCATCATCCAGGTGATGGCAACGGAGCTGGCGCACTCCCTGCGCTGCTCGGGTACGTGTGGTGGGGATGGCACTCTGGCTGGGGTGGATGTTGTGGTGCTTGGGGCACTGTCAGCCAGGATGGAGAAGCGCTGTTAAAAACAGGCAGCTCAGCGCCAGGACAAGACCCTGCATGAAAGTGCTGGGGTCTGCAGCTGGACTGTTCTCGGGCGGCACAAGTGGGTGATTTCACTGCAGTCTCTATTCAGGCATGTGTTGGGCTGGTATGGGGAAGAGTCTCTGTTGTAGGCAACACCTCAAGTTAGCGTATGTCTTTGGAGGATGAGCTCCCGTACCAGTGCTTTCCCCTGCTAACAGTATGGGGTGCAGGGTAGAAATGTCCCAGGGGGGCTGTGAAGCAGGGTACAACATCCCACTCTGTTCTCTCCAGCTGGAGAAGCCACTGAGAACCTGATGAATCTCAGCCCATCAGACATGAAGAACCTCCTCTACCACATCCTCTCTGGCAAGGAGTTTGGGGTGGAAAGGAGTGGTGAGTCTCTCAGCAGGGCTGTGAGAGAATCTCTGGGCAAAGCTGGGTCCTGGTGCAGAGCATGGCCAGCTCCAGGTATTCCCGCCTGTGGGGGATGTTGCTGTCCTGCATGTTCAGCACAGCTGCTTCTGCACTGCAGTGGTCCAGTGAGAAGCTGTGCTCTTCACAGTGGTGCTGAGCTGATTTCTGGGGATCAAGCCCGAGTCCTGGGGCCATTGGGCCTTTGCTTAGTTCAGCACTTGGCCCAGTCAGGCCTGAATTGAAGCAGTCCTGTGCTGTGCTCATGGATCTCTGGTGCTGGCTGGGATAGAGGGCAGAAGTGTGCAGAGGTACCAGCACCTGAGCATCAATGAGACATCTGTGCCCTGAGCCATGGTACCCACTCTAGACCTCTATTCCCTTCCAGTGCGATCAATCGACTCGTCGGTCACCACTATCTCCATCTGTGAGGTGGGGGCTGTTGGGGCTACCAAGCCTGAGCGTGCTGGCATTGTCAGGCTGAAAAGTGAGATCAAACAGGTAAGGGCAGGTGGTGCAGGCTGCCTCTGCCAGGTTTTGTGGGTGACAAGCAGCTACAGGACAGGTAGGACTGACAGGAGAGCAGGAGCTCGCTCACTCCGGAGCTGCAGAGAGCTTACAGCTGCTTCCAGGAGCTCATTTTGGCTCCAGTCCTGTCCTGGGGGGAGAATTGGGCTAAATCTGTTAGTGGGGGTGGGGGTTGCTCTGACAGTGCAGTACAGAGGGAGCACATGGGTGCTTGAGAAGGTGTAGTGGCGGGGAGGACCACATGGTGTCCTAGGCATGGCTGGTGTCCTGGTGGGCCTCTTGCAGCAGCAGAAACTTCATTTCCTTCTTCTCTTGCAGCAATTGGATAAACGTAGGCAGTCTCTGACTGGGAGTAAGGTGAAGCCACTCTGGTCCTCCTGCAGCCTCAGCTTTTATCCCTCACGCCATGCACCAGGGCAGCTTCCAAGCATGCATGAGTTCATGAGCTTTCCTAAACAGACCCACTGAGTGAGCTGCTGCAGCACTGAGCTGGCTTCCCCTCTCAGCAGGCTCAGGGTTGCTCTGTTCAGGATGGGAAAAGGAGGCTGGCTCCTTGGGAAGAGGTTGGCATGGCTTAACATGGGGGCCCAGGGCTGGCACTGCCCTACAGCCTTCAGGGAGCTTCCCTTTGAGTGGGACCTGCTGTGTTTGGACTGGCAGGGAGGAAGGCTTCTCTAAGCCATGGGTGTATTAGCATTACAGCCAGCTGGGAGCTTTGCTCTGTAGCTGCTATGGCTGAATAGATTCCATTATACCCACAAAAACTGGCTGAGCAGGATGGCATGATGTTTTCAGTGCCATGACCAGCAGTGGCCCTGCCAGGCAGTTCGCTGGTGATCACTAGATCCTGTGTGTAGCCTCCCCAGCTATTTCTTCTCTGGGGGAAGAGGCTCCTGCCCAGCTACAGATGACAAGGACCTCCTCTGGTGCCTGGCATGTGTCTAGGAGGAGTCCTGAGCTCTAGGAGAGGTCCCATCCTCAGAGACAGGACATGTGGGGACCAGGCTGATGCAGCAGTTTTATGGCCAGCCTGCTGCAGTGTGAAACTGGCATTGCAGAGAGACCATGTATGTGGCGAGGAGGGTTGTCCATGGGCAGTGACCTTGCTGCTGGCCCTCCAGTCTGCCTGAGACTAAACCCCTGCCCATGCTAGCAGCCAACAGAGCGGTAGCAGCCCTGCTGCTGCGTGCCAGCCTGCACAAGCCCGCTGCTGCTGCAGCACCAGTATGTGAGGGTCCTGCAGCTGCTCTGTGCCCTGGCGCAGTCCTTCCCCTCTGGTGCTAACGTGAGAGTTTCCGCAGCTCGCCTTTCAAAACTACCTCTCAGTCTCCAGCTAACCACAGCCCCTGGGATAACTGCCCTGTGATCTAAGCTTGGTCCATGCTGCTGCTGCTCTGCTTGCCATGATGGCTGCCCTGCTCTGGCACAGTCTGATTTTTGTCTCTCCCTTTCTCCTTCAGCCCCTCAGTTTGCAGTCCGGAGACACTGACTTGAAGTCCTCTCTGGTAACCTGCGTTTGTTGGCTGCATGCATGGGGTCTGTCCTGTTTGTGGCTGCAGAAAGGAGCTGTGCTCTGGGGGGTGCTGCAGGGAGCCGGGGCTGCAGGGTGGGCTTTGCTGGGGGCAGGGGGTGGCAGCTCTGCCCTGGGAACCAGGCTGGGTGAGCACAAACTCTTGGGCAGCAGTGGGCTACATTCTTGTGGGGTATTTAACTTTGCAGCAGTCTCTGTGGTCCTTGTTTTGTCTGCCCAGTCCACTGGGCATGCAGAGCTGCTGGGCAAGGGCTCCTTTTCAAGAATGCTGGAAGACCAGGGCAGTAAGGACAGCCGACATGGCCAGTGGCAGCGGAGACGGCGGCTGGATGGGGCGCTCAACCGTGTCCCTGTGGGCTTCTACCAGAATGTCTGGAAGGTCCTACAGAAGGTGAGCTGGACCTCTGGCTGGTTTTCCTTCATGCATGTGAGCCTGTGGTCCCAGGCACCAGCCTTGCCAGGGGGACTTAGGCACCTGGGGCTGGTCTCCCATCTTGTGTAGATACGTGCCTCATGGATAAGGCCTGCAGCTGGCTGTGGAAAGCTGGGGAAGACCTGGAGCTTCCCTGTAGGCATGCAGGACCTACCTCATACTGTGCTGACCCTTGCAGAGCGGGACTAGGTCTGCTAAGGTGCTTTATACATTAGCCAGGCAGGGGCAGGGCTGGAACCACAGCTGAAGCAGCTCCAGGCATAGCTCATCCTCAGCATGGTAAGCCAGAGAGCAGAGCCCTGTGCTGTGTGCAGGAAGGCTCTGGCTGATGCAGAGTGATGCTGTGCAAAGTGTCAGGAGGTGGAGCTGGGTTGCATGGGCAGCACGTACTGCTCAAGTGGGAGTGAGTTGGTGGGCTGGACCTACATGTCTCAGTACAGTGCTTCTCCAGGTCATAACCATGGTCTGTCCTTCTTGTTCTGCAGTGCCATGGCCTTTCTGTGGAGGGCTTTATTCTCCCCTCTTCAACAACCAGAGAGGTAGGAGGTTTATGTGAAGGGGAAACAGGGCAGGTGGGTTGGGGCTGGGTGCTGGGTTGCCCTGGCCGAGTGCCCAGCATAGCTCAGGACTTGTGCTGGCGATATGGTGCTCTAAGTGCATTTCTTTCTCCCTCCTCACAGATGACCCCAGGGGAAATGAAGTTTGCTGTGCATGTGGAGTCAGTCCTCAACCGTGTGCCCCAGCCAGAGTACAGGCAGCTGCTGGTAGAGGCTATCTTAGTGCTCACTATGCTGGTGGATATGGAGGTGCACACCATTGGCGGCGTCATAGCTGTGGAAAAGATCTTGCACACAGCTAATGACCTCTTCTATGAGGAACAGGTAGGGGCCAGGCCTCATGCAGGCGTCACAGCCTGCACCCAGGGCTGCTGGCTGTGTTCCTCACAGCTACACAGGGTTCACCCAGCTGGAGGGTCCTGCCTGTTGTCCCCATTGTGTTCATGGGGCACAGCAAAGATGTAGTGTCCTCTTCCCACTGCTCACCATCGATGTGTCATGCTGTGAGTGCAAAGGAAGATGCTTGGGGTGGAAGCTGGTGAGGGGGCTGCCCTTGTTCCTAATGCTGCCTTTCTCCTTTCCTGTCCAAAATCCAGAAAGCCCTGGGTGCTGACGACCACATGCTGGAGAGGGATCCCACGACAGGCATCTGCAGCCTGCTGTATGACAGCGCACCAAGTGGTCGGTTTGGCACCATGACCTACCTGTCCAAGTCGGCGGCCATGTACGTGTACGACTTCCTGCCCGCTGACGGCTGCTCCATGCAGTAGCTCTCGCAGCTCCTCTCCCCAGGCTGCAGATGCCATGGGAGGGTTGTTTCATACAGCTTTTTAAAGATGGGCATTAGGCTAGTTTGCAGGCAGCCTGCATGGCCATCTCTCCTCCCAGTCCTGGCCTCTCAGTGGGTGAGCAGCTCTCCTGAGGAGCTCTGCAGGAGGCACACGTGCTAAGCTGACCTGTGCCTGCATGCAGACTGTGGAGCAAGGGCTGGCAGGGGAAGGCTGAGCTTTGAAGCCTGCTTGTGTTAGAAGTGTCTGCCTGCACGGCTCCTCCTGGGCTGTCACCCCTGGAGGGGCCTGTGTTTGAGGGAGATGGAGAGGGCCTCCCTCACTAAGTGTGTGTGCTCAGCACTGCAGCGTTCCCTGGTGAGCTCACGTTCTCCCTGCCTCCAGCAGATTCAAGGGTTTTAACCTGTTCTGTGCTGCTTTTCATTCCAAACTTGCAGGATTTATACTAGTGTAGGCTGGCATTCTTGCTCTTCCTGCTGCTGATGGAAAAGCCTTAGAGGAGTAGGGGATGCTGCCTGAGCCTCTCTCCCAGCACACTCAAAATCAAAAGTCCAACCCAGCCACAGCTGTGCTGCTTGGAGGTAGGTGGCCCATCATGCCCCTCTCAAGTGTGTGTAGCTGGGTAGCCTGTGGGAGCCAGGAGCATCCCAAGGTGGTAACAGATCCCTGTTACCACCAAGCTGTGAGGACAGGGCTTCTGGCTGGCTGGGGGATGCTGGTGGCAGCCCCTCCATGCCGTCTGCTCTGTGCCTGGCTGTGTTGCTAATGGCTAAGTCTCAGGTTCCCAAGTTCATACGTGCCCTGTGAAGCAGCTCTGAGCTGCCTGCTTGGCTCAGCATTAGCTGTGCCATCACAGATGTCCTCTTAACGTGCAGCTCTGGCCTCTGTCCCAGCTCCCACAGCCTTGCACAGGAGAGGGGTGGTGACTTTAGACTTGGTCCCAGCTCTGCTCTATCCTGCAGGTCAAACCCCAGAGCGGTTGGACTGATGGGGATCAGGCACACACACAACACAAAGTGGTGGGGTGAGTGGGGCTATAGAGTCATAGAATAATTTAGGTTGGAAGGGACCTTTTAAAGGTCATCTAGTCCAACCCCTCTGCAATGAGCAGGGACAGCTTCAACTAGATCAGGTTGTTCAGAGCCCTGTCCAGCCTGACCTTAAATGTTTCCAGGGATTGGGGCATCTACCACCTCTCTGGGTAATCTGTGCCAGTGTTTCACCACCCTCATTGTAAAAAAAATTTCTTCCTTAGGTCTAGTCTGAATCTACCCTCTTCTAGTTTAAAACCATTACCCCTTGTCCTATCACAACAGGCCCTGCTAAAAAGTTTGTCCCCATCTTTCTTATAAGCCCCCTTTAAGTATTGAAAGGCTGCAATAAGGGCTCCCTGTGGAGCCTTCTCTTCAGGCTGAACAACCCCAACTCTCTCAGCCTTTCCTCACAGGAGAGGTGTTCCAGCCCTCTGATCATATTTGTGGCCCTCCTCTGGACCTGCTCCAACAGGTCCACGTCTTTCTTGTACTGGGGACCCCAGAGCTGGACATAGTACTCCAGATGGGGGTCTCACCAGAGTGGAGTAGAGGGCGAGAATCACCTCCCTTGACTTACTGGCCACGCTTCTTTTGATGCAGCCCAGGATACATTTGGCTTTCTGGGCTGTGAGTGCACATTGCTGGCTCATGTCCAGCTTTTCATCCACCAGTCCCTCCAAGTCCTTCTCTGTAGGGCTGCTCTCAATTCCTTCATCACACAGCCTGTATTGATACTGGGGTTTGCCCTGACCCGGGTGTGGGACCTTGTACTTAGCCTTGTTGAACCTCATGAGGTTCATATGGGCCTGCTTCTTGAGCTTGTCCTGGTCCCTCTGGATGGCATCCCTTCTCTCAGGTGTGTCAATTGCACCACTCAGCTTGGTGTTATCTGCAAACTTTCTGAGGGTACACTCAATCCCACTGTCTGTCATTGATGTCCCAGCACGTACCCCTGAGGGACACTACTTGTCACCGATCTCCATCTGGTCATTTAGCTGTTGACTGCTACCCTCTGAATGTGACGATCCAGCCAATTCCTCATCTACTGAATAGTCTGCCCATCAAATCAGTCTCCAATTTAGAGAGAAGGATGTTGGGGGACTGTGTGAAAGGCCTTACAGAAGTCCAGATAGATGACATCTGTAGCTCTTCCCTTGTCCACTGATGTAGTCACTCTGTCCTAGAAAGCCACTAGGTTGGTCAGGCAAGACTTGCCTTTGGTGAAGCCATACTGTCTTGAATCACCTCCCTGTCCTCTATGTGCCTTGGCATAGCTTCTAGGAGGATCTGTTCCATGATCTTCCCAGGCATAGAGGTGAGGCTGACAGGTCAGTAGTTCCTGGGGTCCTCCTTTCTACCATTCTTAAAAATGGGTGTAATGTTCCCCTTTTTCCAGTCACCAGGAACTTCACCTGACTGCCATGACTCTTCAAATATCATGGAGAGTGGCTTGGCAACTACATCAGCCAGTTCCCTCAGGACTCGTAGACTTATGTATGTTCAGGTTCCTCAGGTGGTCATGAACCTGATCTTCTCTTACAGTGGGATGGATTTTGCTTCCCTAGTCCCCCTCTTGTGGTCCATCCACTCAAGAGGTGTGGGAAGAGAGGTTACCGGTGAAGACAGAGGCAAAAGAGTTGTTGAGTACCTCAGCCTTCTGCTCGTGTTTCTACCAGTTTGCCAGTCACATTCATCAGGGTGGTATGCTGTCTTTGACCTTCCTTTTCTGGATGACATACCTATAGAAGCTCTTCTTATTATTCTTTGCATCCCTTGCCCAAGTTCAGCTCTAGCCACACCTTGGCCTTCCTGACCCCATCCCTACACAACTAGGCAGCTTCCCTATACTCTTCCCAGGATACCTGTCCCTACTTCCACTGCCTGTGCATTTCCTTCTTGCCCTTTAGTTTGACCAGCAGGTCTCAACTCATCCATGCAGTCTCTCGCTTTCATTTCCTGATTTCTTACACCTGGGTATTGAGAGCTCTTGCACTCTATAGAAAGCATCCTTAAAGATCTGACAGCTCTGCTCTGCTCCGCTCCCTTGTCCCTGAGGACAGTTTCCTAAAGGGTCCTGTTGACTAACTACTTAGACAACTGCAAGTTTGCTTTCCTAAAATACAGGGTCCTGACTTTACTCTTCACCTGACCCATATCCCTCAGGACTGCGAACTCTGCCAGTGCATGATTACAGCAGCCCAGGCTGCCTCCAATCTTGACATCACCAATTAGCTCGCTTGTGTTGGTGACTGTCAGATCCAGTATCGCATCCCCTCTGGTAGGTCTATCTATTACCTGGCTTAAGAAGTTATCCTCAGTGCATTCTGGGAGTCTCCTGGATTGCTGTGGCAGTTTGACCCTGGCTGGATGCCACGTGCCTGCTAAAGCCGCTCCATCACTGCCCTCCTCAACTGGACAGGGGAGAGAAAATACAACAGAAGGCTCATGGTCAAGATAAGGACAGGCAGATCACTCACCAGTTACCATCATGGAGAAAACAGACTCAACTTAGGGAGAATTAGTTTAATTTATTACCAATCACATCAGAGTAGGATAATGAGAAATAAAACCAAATCTTAAAACCCCTTCCCCCCACCCCTCCCTCCTTCCCAGGCTCAGCTCCAGTCCCGATTTTCTCTATCTATTCCTTGCCAGTGGTGCAGGAGAATGGGGAATGGGCGTTGGGGTCAGTTCATCACATGTTGTCTCTGACGCTCCTTCCTCCTCAAGGGCAGGACTCCTCGCTATTCCCCTGCTCCAGCATTGGGTGCCTCCTATGGGAGACAGTCCTCCATGAACTTCTTCAATGTGGGTCCATCCCATGGGCTGCAGTTCTTCACAAACTGCTCCAGTGTGTGTCCCTTCCACGGCGTGCAGTCCTTCAGGAGCACACTGCTCCAGTGGGGGTCCCCTGCAGAGTCACAAGTCCTGCCAGCAAACCTGCTCCAGCGTGGACTTCTCTTTCCATGAGTCCGCAGGTCCTGCTGGGAGCCTGCTCCAGCATGGGCTTCCCACGGAGTTACAGCCTCCTTCAGGCGTCTGCCTGCTTTGGTGTGGGGCCCTCCAATGGGCTGCAGGTGGACATATGCTCTGCTGTAGACCTCCATGGGCTGCAGAGGGACAGCCTGCATCACCATGGTCTTCACCATGGGCTGCAGGGGAATCTCTGCTCCAGCACCTGGAGCGCCTCGTCCCCCTCCTCCTTCACTGACCTTGGTGTCTGCAGAGTTGTTTCTCTCCCATATTCTCACTCCTCTCTCCAGCTGCAGGTGCTGTTGTGCAGCAACTTTTCTCCTTCTTAAATATGTTACCCCAGAGGCACTACCACTGTCGCTGATGGGCTCAGCCTTGGCCAGCGTTGGGGTCCATCTTGGAGCTGGCTGGCACTGGCTCTATTGGACACGGGGGAGGTTTCTAGCAGCTTCTTACAGAAGCCACCCCTGTAGTCCCCTGGCTACTAAAACCTTGCCATGCAAACCCAATACAATTGCCTACACTTTGCCATGCTACTTTTCCAGCAGATGTCAGGGTGGTTGAAATCCCCCAGCAGAATGAGAGCCTGCAAGTGCAATGCCTCCTGTAGCTGGAGTAAGAAGGCTTCGTCAATAGGCTCCCCTTGATTGGGCTGCCTGTAGGAGACACCAACCACAAGTTTCCATTTGTTGCCTTGGTCTCTGATTCTTACCCATATGCTTTCAACCTGCTCGTAGCTATTTTTCAGAGACAGCTCTTCAGAATCTATCCATTTCTTGACATAGAGGGCAACCCCTCTGCCCTTCCTTCCTCACCTGTCCCTTCTGAACAGCCTGTAGCCATCAATAGCCACACTCCACCCACAGGACTTGTCCCACCAAGTTTTAGTAATGGCAACTAGGTCATAGCTTTCTAGCAGCACGGTGGCTTCCAGCTCCTCTTGTTTGTTGCCCATGCTGCATGCATTGATGTAGAGGCGCTTCAGCTGGGCTGTTGGCTGTGTCACCTTCATAGAGGAACACATCTTAGTTCCTTTGAGGTATTTCACTGGTGTTTTTCTCTTGGCTCCTATTAGCTCAGGAGCCTCTGGCTCATCTCCATAAGACTTCCAAGTGTGCTCCAGTGTACCCAGCATGTCTCAGAGCAACAGGCTGAGGGCCCTTGCTAGCACCCCATCCCTCTGACGTGTCATCTCACAGCTTGTCACAGGCAAGCCTGATATTATCCCTCTCCCCCTTCAAGTCTAGTTTGAAGCTCTGTCAATGAGCCCTGCTAGCTTGTGAGTAAAGACCCTCTTCCCCCTTTGAGAAAGGTGAATCCCAGTGGATGCCAGCAGGCCTGGTGCCGTGTAGGCCATACCATTATTGAAAAACTCAAAACTGTGGCGGTGACACCAGCCATGGAGCCATGTATTCATAGACTGGGTCTCTCTATTTCTTCTACTGTCGCTGCCCGCAACTGGAAGGAGAGAGGAAAAAGTAACCTGTGCTCTAATTCCCTTACCAACTATGCCAGGGTCCTGAAGTCTCTTTTGATTGCCCTTGGACTATACATTGCAGCTTCATCGCCGCCGACACGGAGTGGGTAATAGCCTGAGGGCCATACCAGGCTAGAAAGTTTCCTAGTTATGTCTTTAACCCAGGCCCAGGGAGGCAGCAGGCTTCCCTAAGAGGAGGGTCTGTCCAGTATATCGGACCCTCTGTTCCCCTCAGAAGGGAGTCATCTACAACTATAACCCATCTTATCTTCCTCATGGAAGTGCTCGTCATACAGTGGGGTAGGCCTTTCTGACCTTGGCAACACCTCTGGTGTAGATGGACCATCATCCATTGACTTGCCTTCTACATCCAGAGCCTCATAGTTGTTGTACTGAGGCACCTGGGAAGGTGAGGTGGGCAAGGAGGTTTGCCTGCCGCCCCAAGTGTGAACTTGCCTCCATTCATTCCTTTCCTTTAAGCTACTGCCTTCAGCCTGGCAGAGGGAAGATACAGGATCCCCTTGATCTTGGGGTTTTTCTGGTAGCTGTCCCTGTTTCTGTCTCAGGGAGGGCAGAGCATGGTTCCACCAGTCTATCTCTTTCTCAGACTCCCTGAGAAATTCAGTCCCTCGGTCTTTCTCAGACTCCCACCTTCCTGCTTCCTCCTGTAGCTCTGCTACCAGGCTGAGCAGATCGTCCACCTGGTCACACCTCACATGGCTGTTCACACTACTCCTGTCCCTTACCAGTGCAAGGCTCTGCCACGCCCTGAGGCCTGGAGGGCTGCATGTTTTTGTGGGAGCTCCATCTGGGTTGCCACATCTGTTCTGGCGAGTGCCAAGGACGTGGCTTTCTGCTGGATGGATGTCATCACTAGGCTCCTTCTGAGAGGGTGATGACCATCAGCTGAGCTCATCTCTTGAGCTGGCAGGGTGATGATGCTGTTCCCCTGCACCCTTCTGTGCCAACTGCAGCACCACGCTCTGTTTGCCCGCTCTGTCTGCAGCGTTCCTGGTCACTAGCGCTCCCCAGGCTAATTTTCCTAGGCGCGGGGGTGGCCATGGCCCTGCGTGCAAAGATCTGTCGCTCCGCTGCAGATCTGACTGGCTCTGGAGCAGCTCCCCTCAGCGACTGAGGTTCTCCTGTGTGTTTTCTGATGTCCAGGTTTGCCTGGCCTTAAAGCTGGGCTTGAGAGCAGTTCCTGGGTTGTCTCTCAGGGCCACGTCCTTATGGTAGCAGCTATTCTGTAGTTGTTGCACACTTGGTAAACCCTGACCTGGGCAGAGGAGGCTTGGAGAGACTGTAAGCCCCAGCCCGACTTCTCTCTCCGTCCCGAGAAAATCACGAGGAAGCTGCTGTTTGGGGGTCAGCAGGGCCTCGGCCGAGCACAGGGAGCCCCAGCAGAAAGCGCTGGGCACCTTCCGGGGCTCCTCTAGGGAGTGGGCTGCCGGGCTGCATTCTCTCTGGCAGGAGACCTCCCGTCGCGGGGCCGGGGCCGGCCGGGTGGGTGGGTGCATGCAGGCCTCGGGCCTTTTTTAATGTCAGTTACTACGTTTCTAAAGAAGAACCAGCCCCCCGAGCTGCGTGGGGTGGGGGCCCCCAATAAAATGTCTCTAACGCAGCGTGCGGCTGTTCTCGCCCTGTCGGCCTGGGCAGGGTGGGAGGGTCCCGGGCACGGCCCGCAGCGCCGGTGCCGCTGAGGGCGGGGACTACGGCTCCCGGCGTGCCGTGGGGCGGAGCGGCTGGTCCCGGCGTGCCCCGGGGCCGGAACTGCCCGTCCCGGGGGGGCGGCAGCGCCGGGCCTCCCGGCGTGGCGGCCCTGATGGCGGCGGCGCCGCCGGTCTACGTGTACAGCCCGGAGTACGTCGCCCTCTGCGACTCCCTCTGCAAAGTGCCCAAGCGGGTAAGCGCCGTGCCGGGGCGGGGAGGGCTGGCGGGCTGGGGGTGTGCGTGCGTGTGGTTAACGGGCCCTGTGGGACCCCGGCGTGGGGGCGTTGGGAGCGCAGTGGTGAGGCCTGGGGACGGAGGGGACCCCGGGGAGGCTGCCGGGAGGTCCGGGGGCTTTGGGGAGGCTGCCGGCAGCTGGGACGGCGGGAGGGTGCGGGGAGCTTGAGGGAAGGGGTAGCGGGGTGGGGGGGGGGCACGCCGGCCCGGGGCAGGAGGAGTGCGGGGGCAGAGGCAGAGCCTGTGTCTCCCCTCCCACCGCCTGGGGCGGGAGCGGGTGCCTGGGACGCAGAAGTCGCACTTCCCAGGCCCCCCGCCCCGAGAAGCTGTGCACTGCTGTGCCTTTTCTTGACACACTGGGAAGTCTTCGCCCCTGGCCCCACTGTGCTGCACACCCTGCGTGGAGGAGACCCTCTCCAGGTACCCAGCTCAGGCTGGTGCCAGTTTAGCTGTGCTGCTGGGAGAGGTTACAGTTACACCTTCGCTGCAAGTCATGTAGCCCCCACTTACTGTGCTCTTGTCTCCTACACTAGAGCTGCTCTCATGGTCTTAATCTTCTTTTTTTAGGCCAGTATGGTACATTCGTTGATCGAAGCATATTCCTTACTTGACCAGATGACGTAAGTGCTCCTGTTTTCTGTGAAGAGAATATTTTCTTCTCTGCTAAGGTTTGGAAGATACTGAGTAACTGCAGGTCTTACACTGTCTCTGCTGGTAGCGTGATTATAGGAGCCCACGCAGTGTGTATTTCTACGATCTAAGGAAGGTTAGCTTGTTTTGCTAAATGGACAAGATTATGCTAATTATGGCAGGTGTAGTTTATGGTTACCCTTTCTGGTCTGATGGACTGCAAATTGCCTTGTGCTTTCTCCGTAGAGCACGCTGTCGTCCACTGCTCTCATGGCTCTGAGCAGAAGTGATGGCATAGAAACCATTGTATTGGGTTTGTGTGGCAAGGTTTTGGTGACAAAGATCTTGGGAGGGGACATAGCAAGGACAGCTGACCCAAACTAACCGAACAGATGTTCCATACCATATGACATCAGCTCAGCTATGAAAGCTAAGTAAAGGGAGATGGAAGGGGGGGCATTTTCGTCTTCTGGAGCAACCACTACGCATACTGCAGCCCTGCTTTCCAGGAAGTGGCCAGACATCGCTTGCTGATGGGAAGTAGAGAATAACATAATTTGTTTTCCTTTGCTTTTGCGTGCGCAACCTTTGCTTTCACTTTATTAAACTGTCCTTATCTTGCTATTCTATCACTCCCCTCCGCCTCAGCTGGACAGGGGAGAGAAAATATAACAAAGGGCTCGTGGGTTAAGATAAGAACAAGGAGGGATCACTCAACCAATTACCATCCTGGGCAAAACAGACTGAACTTGGGGAAAATTAGCCTAATTTATTGCCAATCAACCAGAGTAGGGTAATAAGAAATAAACCCAAATCTCAAAACACCTTCCCTCCACCCCTCCCTTCTTCCTGGGCACAGCTTCACTCCCGGATTCTCTACCTACCCCCAGTAGCGGTGCAGGGGGATGGGGAATGGGGGTTATGGTCAGTTCATCACACGTCTCTGCTGCTTCATCCTCTTCAGGGGCAGGACTCCTCACCCTCTTCCCTTGCTCCAGCGTGGAGTCCCTGCCACAGGAGACAGTCCTCCGCGAACTTCTCCAATGTGGGTCCTTCCCACGGGCTGCAGTTCTCAACGAAGTGCTCCAGCATAGGTCCCTTCCATGGGTTGCAGTCCTTCAGGAGCACACTGCTCCAGCGTGGGTCCCCCGCGGGGTCACAAGTCCTGCCAGCAAACCCGCTCCACCATGGGCTCCTCTCTTCATGGATCCGCAGGTCCTGCTGGGAGCCTGCTCCAGCACAGGCTTCCCACAGGGTCACAGCCTCCTTCGGGCATCCGCCTGCTCCAGCGTGGGGTTCTCCATGGGCTGCAGGAGGATATCTGCTCCACTGTGGACCTCCATGGGCTGCAGGGGGACAGCCTGCCTCACCATGGTCTTCACCATGGGCTGCAGGGGAATGTCTGCTCTGGCACCTGGAGCGCCTCCTCCCCCTTTCTTCACTGACCTTGATGTCTGCAGAGTTGTTTCTCTCCCATATTCTCACTCCTCTCTCCAGCTGCAGTTGCTGTTGCGCAGCAACTTTTCCCCCTTCTTAAATATGTTACCCCAGAGGCTTACCACCGTCGTTGATGGGCTCAGCCTTGGCCAGCATTGGGGTCCGTCTTGGAGCCATCTCTGTCTGGCGTGGGTACAGCTCCCGGTGTCTTCTCAAAGAAGCCAACCCTCTAGCCCTCCGGCTGTGAAAACCTTGCCCTGCAAACCCAATACAATTTTTTTCCTACTTATGCCCCCTAAATCTGCTGTGTGAGTCCAAATCTGGTACCTGTTGTGAGGGTTTTTTTGCCGTGGCTTTTTCATTGTGCCCTGAATAGAAAGTTAGAGCAGTGGTTAAAGAGAGATAGCTCAAAACAAGGAGAATATGCTTCCCCCAGAGGAAAAGGCCTGTTGTGTCTGACACACGGACTCTTACCCACAGGTTATGACTGTCCAGCTACGGAAGGGATCTTTGAGTATGCAGCAGCTGTGGGAGGAGCCACCATCGCTGCAGCCCAGTGCCTGCTGGACGGCAAGTGCAAGGTAGCGATTAACTGGCCTGGAGGGTGGCATCATGCAAAGAAGTAAGGAAACAATCTCTTCCCTTGTGTTTTCTCACCTGGTGTCTGAACACTGCCTCCTAGCTCCCAGCTTGCCTGCGAACCCTCAGGGTGTGGCGATCCAGCAGGAAGAGAGAGCAAGGTGTGAGAGGGGTGAGGGAAGGCACAGGTAGACAGGAAAGATGCAGAGTGGGGCAGAGGCCTGAGAGTAGGCTGGTTACTGCCCAGTCCTGGTGCTGTCATGGACTGCAGTGCGGGTCTGGGGCAGATATATTCAGAGGTGTCCTGCCATCCATTAATACTTGGTTATCTCTGGCAGTTCAAGTGAGAGTTGGTTTTGCAAAGTCCATAGAGAAGGGCTGTGGAGAGGCAAACGATTGGTGTCGCTCCCAGTTTGGAAGAGAATGGGAACCTGGCAACACATTGTCCAAATTGTTTTGCGTCTTTTTTGGTATCTTAATAAGAGGTTTGAAAGAGTGCAGGTCTGACCTCTGGTTTTCCCCATGTTCTGTGGGTGACTGTTTGCTCTGAGCTGTAATGTCAATAATATTCCAGAACAACAGGGGAGGAAGTAAAAATTTCATCCCTGAATCCTGTGATTCTGAAGTGGTAAAATAATTTGTTTCCATGGCTTCCTCATTGTCCATGGAAGTATGTTTTACTTTAACTTGTGCCCCCCATCTCCCAAAATATGAGGCCTGTCTGCAAATGCAGACAAGACAGCACTCTTCCTGTCCCCAGCTAACTGGCCTTTGCAGTGCTGTTCTGTTTCCCTGAGGAGCCCCAGAAATAAGCATGAACCACGTGTCTTACCCTAACAACTTATACATGAGTGTGCAGGTTTCTCTTCTTGCTCCAGTGACTTTTCTGACCTGGCAGAGAAACTCTGGAGGTGTAACAGTGGTGTGAAAATGCCAGCAATGGCAGTGTCTCATCAGGACCCTTTTCCTGGTCAGCATTTTGCCGAATATGGGTCCCACTATGGCTTGCTGAGAAAGGAGAGAGATTAGCTTGGCTGAGCTGAGCCTTCTTGCTCTTTGCAGGAGGGATGGCTTTTAAAAAAATCTTCTGTTCCCTTTTATCTTGATTGCATGGTTTATAAAATGCCTGTAACAGAAGAAGTCTTAGCAGTGTTGCTGCCACTGAGCTGTGCTATTAGCACTGTCCTGGGAAGCAAACAGTCTGTTTAAAAAAGGTATTTAGTACTTACCGATCCCAAAGGAGCCTTCCCAGTCACCCCAGTGAGGTGGTCTGGGATGCTGCAGGGTAGGCGATGTTCAACCTCATGGACGTTGTTTTCACAGAGATGAAGCTTCTGGCTTCTGTTACCTGAATGATGCTGTCTTGGGGATCCTGCGGCTGCGACAGAAATTTGACCGTGTCCTTTATATCGATTTGGATTTGCATCATGGGGATGGTAAGGCCCTGTGCAGGCTACAAACAGCACAGCCACACAGACTCAGGGGGAGGAGTGAGAGAAGTCAAGGCCTGTCAGGGCAGTAGGGCTTTACCTGCTGCAACAGCTGTGGCTTTGCCTCCTTTCAGTGCAGTCAAGTTCCCTCAATCCATTTCTGCCTTGTCCTGCTTTATGGATTTGCCCTGTGCTGCTCGTCAGACCTCTTGTGAGGGTCTGGGCAGCAGTCTTGTACCATACCTAAAGCAACAAACGGTGTGTTCCCATTCCAGTAATCCCCTCTGCCAGTGGCTCTCCAGCAAGGACCTTCTCCGGTCCCTTGTCTCCCATCTGGGCAGAACAGCTGCTGACAGTGTTTAATTGTTTAATGCCACCAGTGCAAGAGGGAAGCAGTCAGTGGTAAACAGTGCTTTTAAAAGAAGGCTTGATGCTATAAAACTAAAGCCAGGGCTGGCCTTGCTGAAACTGCTCTCTCTTTCAGGGACATTATTTCAACACCATTTAACATTTCCTGCTCTCCTAAATTTTATGGTGTGTTTCATTTTGTTCCATTTTCCCCACACACTTGGTTTCTGTTAAGTTTCCTGTTACTTCTTTTTCCCTCCCCACCCCCACTATTTTAATATGTCTTTAAGGAAAAGGAAAGGTCTGTTGAACTGCAGCAGTGCTGAGAAAAAGCAAGAGAGCCCAGTAGCTCTGGTTCTAATCAGAGCCAAGCTCTGGCCAAGGCATTCCTGCTCTGCTCCCTCCCCCAGCCTTGCAGGCCAAGCAGTGCAGGTGAGTGCTGCTAATGTGGGCACTGACCTGAGGTATTGAGATCCCTTCAGTACTGATTAGCATGAGACCTGCCAAATTCATGTCAGTTGTGACCTTTGCAGTTGAATTCAGGTCTCCGTTGATTAAGGATGGATTTATTCAGCCACATCTGGTTTTCTGCTTTGTTCATTCTGTTCCTGCTCTGCTTGCTGTCCTATGTTTATCAAGTGGCTCGTTTGCATGTTTAGACTCTGTCATTTATGTGAATGATGCATGAAAGCTTTTTTTCTCTTCTCTTTTCTGTTAGGAGTTGAAGATGCCTTTAGTTTCACCTCAAAAGTCATGACTGTTTCTCTGCACAAGTTTTCACCAGGATTTTTCCCAGGCAAGTCGAACTTGTGAGGTTTGTGCTAATTTGGTTCACGCATCACTGATGAGGCCCCAGCAAAGGCAAGTCCCATCCCTTCTGTCCAGCAGAGGTATCTCACTGCCTCTCCTGTTGACCCAGGAGAAGGAAAGAAGGGAGAACTACATGCTTGGCATTTCCCCCTTTCTGGTTGTGGCTAAGCTCTGGGCAGAGCTACTGCTGGGTGGCCACCCACAGCCCTTGAAAGCTGCATGACAGAATTGGGCAGAGGGTGAGAACCAGGTTCATCCAGCTCCTCATTTATTGGTGGTGGCAAGTGGTGGTGGACTTCTCCATAACTGTGCCAAAGGTTCTGGCTCTCTGCTGTCATCTGAGATATCCCACACATTTCTCTTGCTGCTGACCTCCTTTCCCTTGTAATTAACCGTGGGGTGTTTCTGTTTTTCAGGCACTGGTGATGTGACAGATGTTGGCCTAGGGAAAGGTCGCTATTACACCGTGAATGTACCTATTCAAGATGGCATTCAGGATGAGAAGTATTACCAGATCTGTGAAACGTAAGCCCTCTTGCTCTGATATGGTTTGCTTGGATGGGATTTTACAGAACACAGACTGCACAGATTTTGTTTATTTACTATTTTTAATTACAGTCCTTCCTTAAGGCTTGCCCCTTCCTCTGTTACAGTTTTTGATTACAACACAGACAGATCTTAAGAGGTCTCAGAGGTCTTGTCCGAATCCTTAGGCAAATTGAATATACAGAGGCATTTGTGGGTGGCTGGAGGGTCTCTGCCACACATCAGCCTTGTGTGTTTAAGGAGAGACTGAGAAGGCACAAGTACTTTTTATCTGTGGACTTAGGGCTAGATGCTTTTTCTTCAAATAAATGCTCTGATCATCTATGGGAAATATGCTTGCGGCTGAGCTAAAAGTGTTTTCCAAACACCTTTTGTCTGCTGGAAGAATGAAAGGCTGAAGGTTGAACGTCTGCCGGTGATTGAGCTGCCTCCCAGCAGGTTCCTCTGTCACTCAATTGGTGATGGACCTCACAAGCCATTGCCCATGTCAGAACTGGGCTGCAGGGCTTGTTCTTTTCAAGGGGAGAGGAGCCTCAGCGTGGGGCTGCAGGACATGGTAGCACATCCACTTCTCATCTCTAACACTTGAGGGCTGAAACTGCTCTGAACTTTTAGCCTGTTAGGGCAGTCATGCTGTGGCCATACCTCCTGCTAGCTTCTTGGTGCTTGTCCCTGCTGGTGGTAGAGCAGCCCTCTTCCTGTCAGGGGACATGTTTCCAAAAAGCAGGGCAGCTTTAGGGTCTGAGTAGGGGTTAGGAGCCCAGTCAGGAGTAGCCCGTTGCATATGTTCCCAGTTGAAGGACATCAAAACCTACCATAGGTTCCAAGCCGCATATAACCAAAGTATCTACAAAGAAATTTTGAGATCTCATGGGCAAAGACAAAGAGTTCTGTCCTGGCCAGGAGACAGTCACATGCATGACTGTGGGCGTCTCATCCAGCTGATGTCTGAGGATGGTTGCTTGTGCCTCCCAAACGCGTGGTGGGATTGGAGCATGTGACTCCCTCCAACATAGGTTTTTGCGGGCTGACTACACCCTGCACAGAGCATTTCATTGTATTCTTCTCCTGTGTCCCCTGCTGGTGAGAGGAGACCTGCTCCTTGGCAGTCCTCTGTTCCTTGCTGAGGTGCTGCCAGATCAGGCATGCCTAGAGCAAAAAGCCAGGGAGATGCTGTGCAAAACAGTCTCACCTCCCTTGGTGCCAGGGACAGCTGCCTCCCTGGTCTCAGTGGAGGCTGACCTGCTGCAGCACAGCAATATAAATAAATGGGGAGGAAGTTTGCCTTTGGTGTCTCAGATGTGTGCACTTTGAACTTGCCTCTCCATAAATTAACAGTGCTTGTGTTTGATCGCTTTTGTTCTAGTAGATAAATTCCTATCCTGCTTTGGAGGTGGTGTGGCACACGGATAATTGCATATTGTTTCTGGAAGTTGAATGACAAGGGCTCTCATTAAAGTACATTGTTACAAATAGCTGTTGCATGGAAAGGGGACCAAAGTGTGACATAATTTATTTATTTATTTTCTGGAAAGTCTGACGTCTTTAAAATTTTGAAGACAAAGGCATCCAGGGATGAAAAGTTTCAGAGCTGCCGTGAGAGTGACAGCACCAAGACCTGGATGCTGAGTTTCTGTGGTACGCTCTGTTCATGCAGACATGTGTCTAAGGCATGTTCCCACTAAGAACCCTCTGGGACCCTACCTGCTCACATAGTCTCACCATCAAAAGAGAAAGGTATGATGGGTCTGGCTAACTGTAAGCATCCAGAATAGCTGATTTGCTTGATTGTCTTGCAAAACTGCCCAAATTAATGAATGAAATTAGTTTTGAAAATATGTCAGTAACTTTATCTGGAGTTTAAATATTAAACTTTTGAAGACTACAAAAAATACAATGTGTGAGAAACATTGCAAGTGCAGAAAAGTAACTTAGAAATAATGCAGAGACATTCAAAAGCATTATCTTTGCTCCAAAGACAAAGAGAACTCTGAGTTATTTTAAATGGCTGCAGTAGTTTGCTTGATAAACTCGAAATTAATTATAGCTGAAAGTGATAACTAATCAGCTATTTGTCCTCTAGTATTGTCCAGAATGTAAAAAACCAATAATTAAAAAACCAAACCAACCCACCCCAAAATCTGAATGCTGTTTGGCCTGTCGTTATGTGTGATGCGCGGGAGCTGTGTTAGCGGTGTGTAGGGATGGATCTAGTGAAATTCTGCTTTAGCCAGTGCAGGCTGGACTGTGTGACAAAGATCTGCTCGCATGGAAGTTGTGATGTGTCCATTATGCCAGTGGAGAAACCTGTTAGTAACATGGGTCACTTACAAGGAAAGCATGCGGGACCTTTGTGGCACCAAAGGCTTGCCTGCTATCTAGAAAGAAAATACTACTTCTCTGTTTACAGTATCTTAGTAAAGGAGAACAGGATTGCTGTGGTGAATGTGTGGCATCCCAGCAGTCGGCTGTCTCGGTTCCTTTGGACTCAGCCATCATAGGTGGTGTACCTTGCATGGTACTGCCCGGTGCTAGGACCACAGGCTGGGGTCTCGTCCTGCTGCCCACAGTGGCACAGACAGAGTGAGGCTGATAGTTTTCGGGGAGCAGCAAGGCCAGTTCCCCCTTCTCTGATCTAATCTGCTTTTTCCTATTCAGCAGGCTTTTGACAAGATGAAAAATAATACTCTTTTTTTAATCCTTCTAAGCAAGGGCTTTCAACCTCTGTCAATATGTGGGCACCTACAGTGTCCCAGCTGGCAGCCTGGCTCTCTGTAGATCCAATTTCAGCCTCTTGATGGTTGGCTATCTTTCTTTTGGTGCCTCTTGTAAAGCCCTTAGACAAGCCCCAGATGGGAAAACGCAGACTAGACTTTTTTTTTTTTTTTTTTTTTGTTTTTTGAAGCAAAAGTTTCCCACTTGCAAGAATAAGGCTAAATCAGAGACTGACGTTTCTTGGGAGGCTGCAGTATTGCTTTCACAGTGCATCCAGCTGTGCCTGTTCCTGGCTATGATGGGTCAAGGGTATCTACTGATGCATCCTTCCTCCCCATTTCAGTGTTGGGGAGGAGGCTGGCGGAGAGGTGAGTGGCCTCTTCCTAGAGGAGTGCAGCGCGGGGGACATGTGCAGCGTGTCTTCTAAAGCAGACAGCGGTGGGGGAAAATGAAGTCAAAATTGGAGTGCATGATAAAAAGCAATTCCTACATGACTGTCAGCGTCTAGCAGGGCTTTTTCATGTTGTGCAGGTATAAATAGAGACTCTTGGGGAGCGGGTGCACGTGGCATGAAAAGCACCATGTGGCCTGGAAATCTTGCAATAATACGAGGCCAGTTCTGAATCTAGTCCTTGGGTGTAGGCACTGAACAGTACTGACCCCAGAGTGACCATGCTGTTGGGAGACTCTGGAGATTAGGGATGTGACTGACAGCTGGATTTGGAATCTGCTTGGAAGGGATTGGTCTTCCACTTCCTATTGCTGTAAGGGGAATAGGAAGGGGAATACAGCACAGGGCACGTGGTGAATGCGAGACCTAGCCACCTGGACTTCATTAGTTGCTTTTCATCATGCAGCAGAGCACAAATCCTAAATGTTCCTCCAGACTCTAAAAGTTTAAAAAATGTGCATAGTTCCACAAACTTTGCAGAAATCTCATGTTCTGAGTTTTTCGTGGTTTGGAATGTGTTGTGGTTTAACCCCAGCCAGCAACTAAGCACCACGCAGCCGCTCACTCACTCCCCCCGCATCCAGTGGGATGGGGGAGAAAATCGGGAAAAGAAGTAAAACTCGTGGGTTGAGATAAGAACGGTTTAATAGAACAGAAAAGAAGAAACTAGTAATAATAACACTAATAAAATGACAACAGTAGTAATAAAAGGATTGGAATGTACAAATGATGCGCAGTGCAATTGCTCACCACCTGCTGACCAGCACCCAGCTAGTCCCCGAGTGGCAATTCCCTGCCCCCACTTCCCAGTTCCTATACTAAATGGGACGTCACATGGTATGGAATACCCTGTTGGCCAGTTTGGGTCAGGTGCCCTGGCTGTGTCCTGTGCCAGCTTCTTGTGCCCCTCCAGCTTTCTCGCTGGCTGGGCATGAGAAGCTGAACAATCCTTTACTTTAGTCTAAACACTACTTAGCAACAACTGAAAACATCAGTGTTATCAACATTCTTTGCATACTGAACTCAAAACATAGCACTGTACCAGCTACTAGGAAGACAGTTAACTCTATCCTAGCTGAAACCAGGACAGGGCTTGTGGTGTTTGCTGGTGCAGCTATCGCCTTGGCACGTCGTGGGTCTCGCTGGGACGTGTACAGAGTGGGGCAGTCAGCGGCAGGGTGGCAGGCTCATGGAAGCCAGGAGGCAAGCTGGCATGGGGAGCGTTTGCTGGCTCTGAGAGCAGCAGGGCCCTGGGCAGCACTGGGTCTTGTCTGCCTGCAGCGTGGGCAGAAGGAAGAGCAGGCAGGCCCATGTGTTGCTGCTAAGGTGACAGTGGATGTAACTTGATTTGTGAGTTTTGGATACAGCTTTTTGGAGGTCAGAGGTGTAAGTCACAATCTTGCCTGTATATCCAGGGAAAGGAAAGCCCTCTAATTTGGGGAGCTCCTTCCCATGCCGCTGGCCATCTCCTGACACCAATGGGAGGAAACGTCGTGTGGTACTGGTCCTCTTCCAGTGGCAATCTCGCTGGGGCTGTGAAATTTTGACTGCTCTTCTGGGTTTCCTTGAGCAGTTGCAGAAGCCTGTTCTCTTCCATCCTCCCTGTCAGCCACTCTGCTTTAGCTGTTCTTCTGACCTCTCTGGGGGTAACAAAAGGCGACTTCTCTGTCAGCTGCTTCCTTCGGGGGCTGGCAGGGGGGGTAGTGAATTGGATACTGCTGAAAGAAAGAGATTGGAGAAGTGTGAAAATGGGCAACATCTGTTCATCTCTGCCACAAAGGCAGGCAGTGCAGCCCTGCCTTGACATGCTGCT